CATTAAGTTGGCTGAGAATATGGTTTAAAGACAAGCTGAGCTTTTATAGATAACATGAGACAGAGCACATTTCAACCTGATTTCCTGTGGCAATATGTCAGACGTCATTTATATTTTGTCTGACATAAAATACTTCCAGCTGGCTAAATAATTCAAAATAAATTGTTCTTGACATGGGGTCTCGGATAATAATTGTTTCTATGGCTTCTGGCTTGTAAATGTCAAATAAACTCAGTTGATCTTTCTCTCAAATACAAAATAATACTTTAGAGTCTGGGACTGAGATTTGCAAAAACTACTTGAGAGCAAAGAAGAATAATGAATGCTGACTGTCATGAAGGTTCCTCCACCTTATCATCTAACTTCCATTCAACAATGGTGAGGGGTGGAAAAGCCAAAAATTCTTTGACAACCTCTTTTGAAACTTGTCAATATCTGTAACAAATTACAGAAGAGATCATTCACTGTTGTGCTCCTTGTTATTGCTGAGTGAGCATAAATAAAATGTTTCCTTAAGTGAGTGATGTCATGTGATCTTCTGTAAATTCTTGAAATGAAGGCAATTGCATTTCTTTTTGCTTTATGTTTGGTTCTTTTGTTTGGTTTTGTTAACCAAAAAGTTGTTGCCTTCATTTTAAACTACAGTGTCCTGGATGCCTGAGTTAATGTAGACTGAGACTGTAACAGACTGTTAATGTACAGCTCCACCTTTTTCTGTTCCACCGCTTCACGTTCTTTCACTTTCTTTACAAACACCTGTGCTGACCTGGAATACTGCAGTCATGCTAGTAGCCCACTATATAAGAACTCCTCTCAGACGCAGACCTATATCAACCACAGGTGATTAAACTAGACTCTGCACAACAGATACGGACACTGAGACAGGTAAGTAACTACAGCACAGATAACTAAACATGTAGTTTAGTTGTAAAAGTGTAAATACACTTTTCAGTTATTATGATGAAAAAAAAAAATTAATTTCAGAAAAACATTTCTGGAGGAGGTAAGATAGAAACTCCCAAATAAAATGGGACAAAGTGGATATTGTCAAATGAAAGTGACATGCAATATTATGACGAAAACATTTTAAAACAAGAAAGAATAAAAAAAAAATCAGTTTTCATCAGAAACACAAGTTTCCTGTAAGTCACAAAGGATTTCTTTATTTTCTGTTTGTATTCAGTCAAGATGAAGTTGCTGCTTGTTGTTTCTGCTGTTCTGGCTGTAGCCAGCTGTGCCAGCATCTCTCTGGAAGATCTGGAGTTTCACGCTTGGAAACTGAAATTTGGTGAGACAGCAGACTCTTTCTCTCCTCTTTCATTTTTTCTTTTTGTCAGAAGCTTCTGATCATGTTTTATGTTTTTTAAGATACTGTACAAGCCTCACATTTAGAAAGAAAGATGAGCTCACCTGTATTTTTACTTGTGCTAAAGATGATAAAACCGCAAATAAAGGAAATGTGTTAGCGGGTTTAAAATACAAAATGATTAACTTTCTTTTTTTCTTTTTTCTCCATAATTTCCTTTTCCAATTGGTAGAAAAGTCATATGACTCTGAGTTAGATGAGGCTCACCGGAAGCAGGTTTGGCTCAACAACCGCAAATTTGTGCTAATGCACAACATCTTGGAAGACCAGGGTTTGAAATCCTACCGCCTTGGGATGACACATTTTGCCGATATGGTATGTGCAGAAAAAGACATATCATTTAGATTTGACCAATTAACCATTTAAGTTGTCAACAATATTTTTCAATATAATTAGCATGTGAGGATGCAAAAAAAACCCCAAAACTTTTTGCATAAAAGCCATGAACTTTGCTGCTTTTTACCAGGACCATGAAGAGTACAAACAGCTGGTTTCCCAGGGTTGCCTTCACACCTTCAATGCTTCTCTGCCTCAGCGTGGCTCTACCTTCTTTGGCCTGCCTGAAGGTACTGATCTGCCCGACACTGTTGACTGGAGGGATAAGGGATATGTCACTGAAGTCAAGGATCAGAAGCAGTGTGGCTCCTGCTGGGCCTTCAGTACAGTGAGTACATACAATTTTGTGTTCTTTGGAAAAACATTGGGGAACAAAAACTGTTGTCTGGTTTGAAATTGACTTGTCCTTACTGCAGACTGGTGTTCTGGAGGGTCAGCACTTCAGGAAGACAGGAAAGCTTGTGTCTCTGAGTGAGCAGCAGTTAATGGACTGCTCTCAGAGCTTTGGCAACAACGGCTGCAACGGAGGATCGGTGAAACAGGCCCTTCAGTACATCCAAGCCAATGGAGGAATTGACACTGAGACATCCTACCCCTATAAGGCTAAGGTAAATAGATAGCAATATATCAAACACACACACACACACCTGATTCTTCTGTGATTTAAATCACGAACCTTGAATATATGCAGTCAGGTCTTTATCACCTGAATATCATCATATCATAAATATCAGAATTATAAATGCAAATCAGCTCATTCAGACAGTGGTGTTAATAATGGCCATGCATGAAGGGCTGTACAGTACTGCCAAAACATATGGTAGCTCCAAGCCCTGTAAAACTCACAGCATGAGCTACTTTATTAACTTCTTTCAAAATCTATTTTTAACAGCTTTCGGAAAGCCCTCTGTTTTCTAATATAAATGTGTGACAGCAGTAGAAACTTATGATTGCATATGTTCTCTGTATTAGGGTCAACCATGCTGTTACAAGCCTGATGGTATTGGTGCCAAATGCACTGGCTATGTTCATGTCAAACCCAGTAATGAAGAAACCCTGAAGAAAGCTGTGGCCACTATCGGACCGATATCTGTTGGCATTGATGCTTCTCGTCATTCATTCCAATTCTACCAATCAGGTGCAGATATTGAAAAAATATTTGCAAAGTGCAGAGAAACATTTTTAAATTGGAAAAGAAATGTGAACTGCTTCATTTGTTCTTTTGTTCAGTCTGATTGACATGTATTTGCAGGAGTGTACAATGACCCCGACTGCAGCAAGACAGTGTTGGACCATGGTGTGCTGGCGGTGGGTTATGGTACAGAAAATGGACATGACTACTGGCTGATCAAGAACAGGTATTTACTCCCATGTGATGCTCGTATTTTAATTCATGCACTTCACTACTTCTAACATTCACTGAGTGCTGATACAAAAATATGTAAAGGCATCTTATTTATGCAGATCATTATTTCTCCACATGCTTTTGGATTGTTAGTGTGAACACTACTAATTTTTAGCTGCTAAATGTTGTTAAACTGTGTAATTTCTTTTTTTCTGCAGCTGGGGTCACAGATGGGGAGACAAGGGATACATTAAGATGAGCAGGAACAAATCCAACCAGTGTGGGATTGCTTCTCGAGCAAGCTACCCTCTGGTCTGAAGATCGGAAGAAATCCATCCTCAGTTTTTCCTTCTGATTTTACAGAAAATCTGGTTTGCCCAGAATTTATTTCAGTCTTTTTAAGCAAGTTGTTTTTAACTAAACATAATTTTATTTGTGGTGTTAAGAAGCTCTCTTTGCCTGAAAAGGTGTTTGATGGAATAAATGTATAACTACAGCAAATACATGTAAAAAAATAAAAATAAATAAGCTGTGAAACTGTGCTCTGTCGATCAATCCATCATCCAGGCAGAAATGTTCAGCACCTGCGGGATGCGTTTCTAGTTTTCTGGAGACTTTTGTGTGAATAAAGCCAATGTTTCCCAAGTTCAGTTTGTTGAGACGTTTGATATCGCATTACTTACAGAATTTGTATGGTTATTAATGAGACATACATACTGATCTCCACTCCATTAATAAAATAACAATTATTTTAAGGTAATAATATCTTTCAGCATTTAGCTAGCTTACAATTTGTGTGACAAACATCACATTTTTCCAGTTTATTCAGCTGATGGAGACAAACAGAATAAATTCTTTGGTGACCTCAAAACTTCATAGATAGTCTAACCAAACACTTTTTAAGCCAAGGAAACCCCCCCAAAAAGTAAATGATAGTTAGAACAGGTTTATAACACAATGATTATGACCTTTCTTGAAAAATAACAAACGTCACAGGTCTTCTATACTTATGAAATTCACAGTGTGTATTAATTATGATGGAATTTGTTCATTAAAAATCTTAGTTACAGATAATAAGCTACCTTTAATTTTGACATTTCTGGTATTTTTGTAATAACAGAAAATATTATGTATATACATGCAATCTGTATATATAATTTTCAACATTGAATATTTTCAAACAGGCCGAACTCTACCGCTGAAGCTTGCACAGACTTCCAGTGACTTTATTCATGAGGAGGTCAATCTGGTGCTTTAAGCCAAGGTGGAAAACTGCATCCATGTTTGGATTCTGATTAACTCTGTTTAACTAGCGATACAGTTCCCAGAGTTGTGTGTCTAATATTGTCCTTTCTCAGTCATCACTGTGCCACAGTGAGGAAAAGCATGGCTCAACACCTGCACCAGCTGGCTGACAAACTTGGAGCAGCTGTAAAATCCTGAAAGCAGGAAGCTTCACTGAACGCTTTCTAATTGCTGATTCTAGAATGGCAGAGGATGCCACACCTGAAGCAAGATGGGTACTTTTAAAAGGGTTTGAAAGTGCATTAATGTGCCGATCTTGTTTTATTTTCTGAGCATTTACACAATTAATGAGAATTAACGAGAACTATAATCCTCAACAGGTACCATGGTCATCAAAAGTCATTCAAATCAATTCAGTCCAATTCAATTTTAAACAGTCGCCTCAATGTTCTTTATATTGTAAGGTAGACCCT